GGGGGGCGGCTTGTTTTACAACGTCGTTGCCAAGCGACGAAAACCCAACCCCGATGGCAAACACCGGGGGGGGAGGGGGGGGGGGCAGAGGCCACCCAGCCACATGACACCTACCTGCCGCAGCCGGCTGGACGACCCAACCAAACGCCCTCCCGGCACTCATGCCCCGAGGAGAGGCTATGAGCTGCTATCGTTCGGCCCGAGAGACCTGCCGCATCAACCACCCCCCCGTCGTGCCAACCGTATATGCGGGTGCAAGAGCCCCTGGGTATGCGAACTCGTGCCGCGTCACACGGGACGGCAGCCCAAGCTCTCGAGTTGCTAACGGTTTGAGGAGGTCCTTACGAACGAACCTCTGAAGCTCGCTCCCCCAACAGCCCTCTGGCTCTACGCGCTCACGGCGATCGGCGCCGCAAACGAAAAGGGAGAGGCCTTCCTGATTGTCCAATCGCCGTGTCCCACCCGCGACGGCCGGGTGCGGAGGCAAAACATCGAATCGAGGTCGGAGACAGAGTTCGTAGCGCCAAGGGCGTAAACACCGCAGCCATTACCACCTGAAACCATCAACGACAACAACGACGCCGAGTGGCAAAGGAAATACACACACCGCCCGCACCGACGACACCACCGCCGCCGCAGGTGACACTTGCTCTCACATTCGTCGTAGAAGCCGTACATCTTGTTGATGGAGGCCGACTCGTGATTGCCCCTCAGGAGGAAGAAGTTGGCCGGGTACTTGACCTTGTAGCACAGCAGCAGGCAGATTGTCTCCAGGCTGTGCTTGCCGCGGTCCACGTAGTCCCTGAAAAAATGAGCAACAATAACACGCGGCAGCGAAGTGCGAAAAACTTGAAAAAAGGCACAAGAAATTTCAGCACCGTCAGCCGTGTTTCCCCTGCAGCTCCACGGAGAAGAAGCGTGATGCATGCCGTACCATACAGGCAACATAAACGTTGACATCGGCCTCCCTTACTGATTCGGCGGGCAAGAAGACGACGGCAGCTACAGCCGCGGTCGACCTCAAGGCGGGGGAACAATCCCTCGGAGGTTTCAGACATGAGAAAAGACAATCAGATTAGAATCAGTTAAAAAACTCTTCCGATTCGCGACGCCAACCTCAGACAGCGTGGCAGGAAACGTATGACGCTACTCCATTTTCATTGTCGACGACGATCGTGCTCCTAGTCCCGGCACGGCAAACCCCTGGGGCTTGGATCGACCTACATATCTACACGGAACAGGCCGAGGCACAAATAAGGTCACCCCACAGAATAGACCAGCCCCTCTCACCCAAGAAGTAGATAGTTGGAGTGCGGAGGGTGGCCACCGTGATCGAACAGCCGGAGGAGGTCGTAGTACTGCCCGTGGATGTCACCTGCGACCGGGAAGAAGTAATCCACAACAAAAAAACACGAGGAGAAAAAAAAGAAACACAAACACACACACACACACACACACACACTCCGTGAGCAAGCAAGCAATAAACAACCCAAACATCAGAAGCGACGTGCCGCCCAATTATGGATTTGGTACGTCCACATTCAGAGGCGGCATGCGTAACTTGCCTCCTCATACGTAAGACGACGAGAAACCGCAAGTCTGGATGGGCGAACCGGTCTGTCTCCAAACGTCCGTCCTGGTGGAGGGTGCTGCTGGGGACAAGGCTAACATGCACCGGCCGACTACAAAGGGCAGTTTCTGCTCGAAAACCAACCAACCACATCCTCCGCCTTGTGAGAACGCCAACGCCATATACTTCCTCTGTATCATAAGTTAGGGTACCTAAATTTGTACGGGCCCTTTACCGTGTCCGATCTGTTTTCCGATTTTTTTGTTGAAATCTTCGGAGTTTTTTTAGCAAGAAACATTTATTTTTATTTTTATGCATGCGCCACCCCGCGTGCATGAGCGGCCGAGAAAAAACCAGTCGGCCTGAAAAAGGCCGTATTTTGCATGTATCCTGCCCCCTCCGACCAGGCGGGGGGGGCCGGGCAATGACAAAAACAAGGTAAAAATACCAAGAATTATCCCTGACCCTAGACCTAGCCCCCCCTCTACTCAACGATCCATGATGCGTCCCCCGTACTAAAAACAGCATAATAGTGGCCCCACACTGAAAACAAGACACTTGGGGTGACCACACTAAAAACAAGACACTTGTGGGGCAAAGCAAGCAACAGTAGGGCCCTCATCCAACCCCCCCCTCTACTCAACGATCCATGTCGCGCCCCCTATACTAAAAGCAGTATAGTAGTGAACCACACTAAAACCAAGACACTTGGGGGGGCACACTAAAATCAAGACACTTGCGGGACAAAAAGAAGGGTTGGTTGGTGGCGGGGAAAAAATAGAAAAAGTCGACAATTCCTACCGCCATGGCATAGCGCCTACCAACCGATAATTCGGTGCCCCTTTTGCGAGGTGGTGTGCTGGGGGGCGATTCCATCGCTAGAGTGAGTAGTGGGCCGGTAGGGTACTAATAT